AAGCTGTTTAAGAATGATCTTAATCGAAACTCCTTAGGACAAGATCTGCATCCTAAATGTTGAAAGAAAAAAATTTCTGCTGTACTATTCTGCAAACAATAAGATTCCAAAAACCTTCCATTTTATTTAAATATTATCAGGAAAAGCTAGTCATTTTTATGTCTGAATAGTCAGGCTCACCCACATGGAGCAGAGAGCATTAGATTTTATATCTATGCATTGAAGAGAGATCTGTGTCTTCCTGTTTTGACCCTAGCTTCCAGGAAGATAAGTTCCACACTTTTAGAGGGTGGGTGTGAGGCACTTAGGGCTTTCGGGGAGGTATTGGAAAATTACTCTATGCGATGCTTCCACTTCAAGGGTCCTCTGCGTGGGGGACCTGGCTCCTTCCCTTCCTCTGTTGGAGGGAGAGCTTGGCCTGTGCAGTCCATGAAATCTCAGGGAAAAGCTCCTCATAGGCCAAAAGAAAACCAATGGAAAGGAAGTTGGCTGTGGGCCGATCCTTTGAACCTGCAAGGTCCCTGGAAGGAGTCATAACTTAAGCCACCATCCGCCACAGACCTGGTTGTCTAGGCCTGGCAGTGCCAAGTGAGGAAAGGGCTGGACTCTAAGACTGAGGGAGGAGAGGGGTGCTGCTGGGAGGGCTGGACAGACACCTCCGCACGTTTGCTTGGAAAGGTCATGGGTCATCGTGGATGTTACCTTTGACAGCATTTCACAGCAGGGACCCTTCCACCCAAACTTCTTTTTGTATAAATGTCTATTAAGTGCTACAACTCAGCAACATTCCTGTTTTTAAACCGTGTGCAAATCTACCTAGAAATATTCTGAGAATGTTTGTTTTCACTTTTTCTATAATGTTGCTAGTAAAATTCCTAGTGTGGATAAGAGGATATTAGGTAGAGTTGAAGCAGATGCTCATAGAGAAAATTACAGAGAGAGGATCTGTAAGCATTTAACTCAGGAGTCCTGCCGGGGCTCTCGTGGGGCCTGGGAAAGACGTAGAGCTGGTTCAGACATCAAGGAACAGAAGGGATGGCAGGCAGAACTGACAGTTGAGAAGCTTGTTCAGAAGGCATTGAGGCTACTGAGAAAAGTTTGGGAGACAGAACTTATGAAAGCCCTCAGTACCTCTTGCAATAATTCAAAACACTGTAAAGTCTCTGTTCCTCAAATGCAAGAGGTCGGTGGCATTTAAAAATTGAAGAATATCTTGTAACCTTCAGTCCTGTGAATCCTAGCCATACAGGGACTTTCATGTAGGGGAAGGAGAGAGAGTTAGGAAGCCTGTTCTAACCCTCCTTTGTGTTCTGACCTTTTTCAGAAAAGCCCTTGAGGAGAGTTAGAAAGAACCAAGGCATTAGCTGGGAACTCTAAATAGCATCGCATCCTTGTGAGAACACTCCCTGAGGAAGAGACGAGGCGTCTCTGTGATGCGTTCACACGTTAGACCTCTCTGCCTCCCCACTACGTGATTTGTGTGAACTCACGTGTTGATTCCTTTTCTTAACTGTCTTTGATGTCATATCTAGGCTTCTTCGTCCCAATATTAAGTAAATATTTACCCAAGTTTTTACTTATTCTCTTCAGGTTTCCATTTTTACATTTAAATCAACTTTAAATTATAACTTTGGTGTGAGGTAGGTAATTTTTTCCCCTTTTCAGATAGGTAGCAGTTAACAAGTTGTCCCAACATCATTTATTGACTAAGTCAACCTTTCCCCACTGATTTGATTGCCCACCTTCGAAAGCCTACTTTCGAACAGCCAGCAATTTCAGGTCATACCTGGTCAGACCTCAGCCACTCCGAATTTGGGCTTTCTATATTCTTGGCAAATTACCGTCATGGCCTTCTGCATGACGGTCCTCTGGCCTGCCAATGGCCCGGTTTCAGCAGCATTGCCATCTTTTTCTATGCAACAGATCGTGTAGTTATTTAAGCACTTTGTCTTATTTTGCTCATGTGGGATAAAAATTAATGGAAAAGGGAGAAAATCAAGGTGTTGATACTTGCAATAAAAGAGGCCTTATAAATATAGTACAAGATAGAAATCATTTGGTCTCAAAAAAGTGGTAAGCTTTTCTCAACCAGATGCTTATTGGACTTAAGCTGGTTAGCTGAGGGTGTGAACATGAAGGAGAAAAGCCAAATTAAAGAGCATAGACATGATTGTGGAAATTAGTTATGTAAGATTAACTCAGTAGGGGAGGGAATCCCTGGTCTGAAATGATACCTTTGGCACCATAAAGACGGTTAAAAACCTTCTCGAGCAAAACTGGTCTGAGAACATACCTGCTTTGGTGCCTCGTCCACCTGCTGTCTCTTCCGTGCTCCTGTCATTTACTTCTGTGTACAGTGTGTCCACAGGTGAACTGTGGTGGAACCCCGCCCTACGACCTAAAAACAAAACTGAATACAATGCGAAAGAGAAAAACACCTACTCAGTTATTCTCAGCCAATTCCACAAGTCAATAACTATCTACCCTCTCTCAACCCCCATATGCAAACCTCACCATCCCATTGTCTTCAACCGCTGAAATGCCTCTTTAAATCATTTCTCTTCCCTTGATCATTACTACCGCCCTGGGTCCAGGATACCTCATCTTATGCCTGCACCGTGCAGTAGCCGGGTGATTCGTCTCTCCACATTCACTCTTGTCTCCCATCCAGTCCATTCTCCACACTGCAGTCAGAATGACCTGGAAGTCTGAGCATGTCAGTACCCCTCTGATTAGAAGCCTCCATCGGTACCCCGTTGTTTGCATGGTGGCCGCAGTCTTTAATAGGGCCCACCTCAACTTTCATCATGGTTTCCTCACACTGCCTGCCTCCAGCCTCCTGTCCTCATTCTGCTCCTTCCCACCTGCGAAATGTCTGGAATGCCTCCTCCAGTCCCCGAGCCCACTCCCACCATCCTTAGATTGCAGGTGAGCCTTTCCTGCCCTTTCGGACCAGTCGTGCCCCCAACCTTTGCTCTCGTGGTGCTGTGTGACCCGTGCCTCCTTCCTTTGTAGCACTTTTCGCAGTTTATAGCATACATCCCTGTGTTTGTTTGATTAGTGCCTGTTTCCCTCCCTGGACTGTGAGCCCGCGTGTGCCAGGACCACATCCTTCTTCCCTCCTCGTCTCTGGGGAGGCTCTCGGTAGATGTTTGTGGACTCTTCCTCTTCTTTGCCCTGTTGGCAGCCAAACCTGACAAAGCTTCATCAAGAATTCTGGATAATATTGGTCCAAATATTTTTATTTTGCATTTTCATTTATAGATTTAATGTGCCCATCATATTAATAAAATACTCTTTCAGTGGAATATTGTCTTTTGCCTTATGGGTGGATTTTCCTTTGTCTCACATGGGGTCTGAATCTGCAGAAATGCATAAGCTACAAATCTTAGAAAATGATAAGATCTATCACTGTACATTTTCTATTTAATTTTATGCCTGTAACATTATGTACGTAGATGGTTCTCCATGTATGTTTATTGATTATTATATTACTTTAATGTGAAAAGCACATAACCACAGTATATAGTTTTGGAGGAAAGGAAAAGATCATCTATAGCACTACCACTAAAACTCAACAGCTGTTACAATTTTAGTATGTTACCTTTTAGTCTTTTTATATGTCTTCTTAATGTTGCCATAATCACAATGCACATAAAATTTTGTCTGCTGTTTTTCCCAAATAACCTTAATGTTGATGGATCGTTATATTGTATATGAGCCTAATTTATTCACTTCAATTCAATAGACATTTATTAAGAACTACACTGTGCTAGGTACCATTCTGTACGCCTAATCCCATTCAAAGAAAACACACAGGTTTTATATTTTGACTATATTATAATAGAATACCATAGTTCTGAAGCTTTCAGTCACATTTTTACTTCACAGATATATTAATTTTGTGACATCTTCTCTTCATCCCAGAAGGAGGAACATGAAGGCTTTTCTCCATTTGTTAGGGCTTAGCACATGCCAGGCACCATTCTGTGTGCTGGAGATCCAGCAGTGCATCTGACAAGGTCCCTGCGTCCTAGTGAGAGGAGACAGACAAGAATGAGTGAGTGAGCGAATGAATGAGTACGGTGATAGTAGAAAAGAAAGAACGCCGGGTGAGAGGGATGGCAAGTGGCCTGGGGGCAGGGCTGCTCGTTCACAAGGTCAGGGGAGGCCTCTCTGACGGTGACATTTGAGCAGAGGCCCAAATAGAGTGAGGAGCAGCCATGCAGCTGTCAGGGAGGCTTTTCCTGGCAGAGGGCTCAGCAGGTACAAAGGCCCTGAGGTGAGAGAGCTTGGTGCTTTCAAGGAATAGCGAAGAGCCGGTAAGGGAAGGAGTGGACAGGAGCGGAGGTCGGCGACAGGATAGGGACAGGATTTGGCACGGGCTTTAATAGGATCATTTTGTTTCCCAGGCTTCTCTGTTCCTTTGCGAGGCCCTTCAGTTCCCACTCTTGTCACCCTCTGGATGAGTCACTTTGTACCAGAAGCTGTAACCTCTCTTTGAGACACACACAATGGATCATAATGTAAAGTGCGCATTCCTTAGGTGTAAACGTGCAAGGAGAGAATTAGCCACACCCCGTGGTGTCACAGACTCACATGTGGTAATCCCTGTTCTAAGAAATGAGGGGTATTTGAAAAACTTGCTAACTCTGAATTTCTCATTTCTTTATCTTTTGCTCATTTGAGGCAATTTTTCCTTTTTGAAAATAATGACTGCATATATTTTTCAAATTGCGTGAAATCGTATCCTATTAAGGCTTACTATCAGTCTGTAATTATAAAGTATGCTCCAACCTCTGACATTCTAGAAACCAGCTTTTTTAGGGGGGAGGGGACAGTTAACCTAATTATAATCTTCCTAGAGTTGCTTTTTGGTTAGATTTGTCACATGCCAAAATCAGACCCCATTAGCAGGCTTAAGACCTTGATTTCTGAAAGGACGGACTGTTACAGGTCTCGCAGGGTGAGTGATTGCTTTTGTTTTCTTTCTGTTACAGGAGGAGACATCACAGCTTTCCCAGATTGGGAGGAAAAATATGGAATGTGTTTTACTGCTGACTGAACACAACCAAATGAACTGTACTGACAGGAGTTTGAAAACCAGCAGTTAGCAGTTTGCTTGGGCTCTGACATTGTCCAGCACTTTCCAGAGCAAACTCACTGTTTACAAGAACTCTCAGCCTTAGGACGTTAATAACCTCAAGCTTCGTTTATTTAAAATATTTCTGCAAAAGAAAAGTACCCGGAGCTCGCTTTCCAAAATGGCCATGGATGAGTATTTGTGGATGGTCATTTTGGGTTTTATCATTGCTTTTATCTTGGCATTTTCTGTTGGTGCAAATGATGTTGCCAATTCATTTGGTACTGCTGTGGGCTCTGGTGTGGTGACCTTGAGGCAGGCGTGCATTTTGGCTTCAATATTTGAAACCACCGGCTCAGTGTTATTGGGAGCCAAAGTAGGAGAGACCATTCGAAAAGGTATCATTGACGTGAACCTGTACAACGAGACAGTAGAAACACTAATGGCCGGGGAAGTTAGTGCAATGGTTGGTAAGTAGCGTCATTCTTTACACCCATGAGAAATGTGTCCACTTGCTACTTCCATACAGTACTTTTGTTATATCCATAAATGTGGTTTTTGCTTTAATTTTTCAAAAACTGGTTTGATGCTTCCTATTTACTCTATCGTATTTTTGCTTTCTGCATTTTAATTTAATTATGGTTTTTTCAGTGTTCAAATGTCAAGCAAACATTTATTTTCTCATTTTTAGCAAACTTGGTTGTTAAAATAGATTTTGGCTAAGTGAATGCTTTTCATAAAGTACAAAAAAAGATATTTGTAGAATAGCTGTTTGAAAGTTATTAAAGAAATATCATGTCTAAGTGAATGTGTTTGAAAGGTTTACTTATGAGATTTCCTTGAAGGTTTATTTCTGTTTTTTCATAGATTTTTCATCAGTTAGGATGCAATTTTTTGAAAGCTTGGATGCCAAAAAACAGGATTTATTAATTTAATGATGTATTCTGAGTTTAAGTTTCAGAGCAGTTACCAAATGAATCTTAAGTGCTTATGTTTCAAGAGATTCTGATCTTCTGTGTTATTTGTAATCCTGTTGTTGGGTTTTGTTTTGATTATCTGATCCTACCTCTGGGAGCTCCATTTGGTATGTTTGTCTTGTTTTCTGGCCAAGAGATCATTGGTATGTCACCTGTGTCCAGGATGACCTTTTATTGGTAGTTTCAGGTTGTCCAGATGAAGAGACGTGTTGAGGGCCGTGCGCTATGTTAACACGCAGATTGACTGGTCGGACAGTGATTTCTCCATGGCCCCGGTGGCCGTGGACCTGAAGCGCTGTGGGGTGCTTCCTTATGTCCTTGCTGCAGCTGGAAGAAGCCTCAGGCAGGAATGCCTCCAGTGCAGCTGCCAGCACGCTCTCTCTGCTCGCCTCTAGGTAGATGACGGCACAGCCACGGCTGAGCTGTACAGGTAATTTGGTTAGGGAGGAAAGGGTTAGAGAGGAATTCTGCCACCTTCTGCTTTCAACAGGACCTATCCTTTTGTAGGCAGAGTCCTGCAGTAGGAGATAAGATGCTGGTGTACCAAGAACGCAGCTACCTTCCACAGGTCCCTAGGTATTTGTGATTATCACTAGCATTTCTTAAGCACCCAGAATGCGGAGATTATTTGCCAAATTGAAGATGGCCCATCGTGTTTTTGTTACAGCAAGTTAGTCTGAGAAGTTGCTGAGGCATTCGATCTGCAACAGACAGTGTAGGAGGTATTAACTGTTACCCAGCACAGCAGGCTGGTGGGCCATGCTCTGGAGTTCGTTTCTCAATGTCTTGTGGTTTAAAGATGTGAGGTTCACGATGCTTTAATCCAAAAGCTATTGTAATGACTGAATTGTACTTGCCTTCACTGAACTTGTGTTTCCATTGTAGTCAGATAGGATCAAAATTACAGTTATTTGTAAAATTTACCCTGATAGCCATGATAGATATGAGACATAATATCAAAATTGAGATTTTTCCAATCAGGATGACGTGGACAAGATATGTTGAAAGTAAGGGAGAAATAAAGAAAAACATAAAGTTAAATCTTAAGGGAAGTGTCTCCGTTCGTTGGATGATCTCGGGAATGGTGCTCGTTAGTGACTCGTTAGTGCATCTGCCCCGAGGCTCCAGCAGTCAGAAAGCCTCGTGAGCTGAGCTTCACGTCGCTGTGGACTTTTCGTGTGGACGGTATAACTTGTCCGATGTTTCAGTTTTCCCACCCCTGGCCTTTGGCTCTTTACTGAAAGAATGAAGAATACTTACCTCAACTAGAATTTAGGTTAACCAAAGCAATTTGGGGTTTTGCTTGAATAACTTGATTTTGTTTGCTTTGGTTTCTTCTTCTTTTTTTGTTTTTGGTGGGTGGTTAGAGGAGTCTCAAAGCCTATTTTGTTGGGAATTTGTGTGAGTTACCTAGATTTTTTTAAATTGGATTCCTTGCAAATGGGAGCTATGTAAATTTAACATGGTGGTATAATTATTATTGGCCAAAACCAAAGCTGAATCTATTCACGTGCCTGAATTCTCCCCATCTTCCTCTTCTAAATTCAGCATCCGTTTCTTCTCTCCATCTCTCTCTCTGTCTTTTTATTCTATTCTATTTTATTTTTTCTCTTTTTTATTAAGAAATGTCTCCTCAAACCCTTGGGTCTCTGTGCTTTCTGGTAGAATTGTGGTAGCGTTAAGTTGGTTGAGGGAAAGAAATTGTTCACACCAGCTCAGCTTCCTGAAGAAGTTATCTTCTGGGCCTCTGGCTCAGCCCGAAAGCAATAGTTAGTCTACTTCGTATAGAACCACCAGTGGCTCCAAAAACCTATGAGAATTCAAAACTCACCGTCTTCTCAGGGAAATGCCCACAACAGCATGAAGAAGCCATCTCCTTGAACCACCCCACGAAGGGCACAGCCCCCTTACAGCTTCCTCTGCACCCATGACTGCTGAGCCTTCTCCCCCTCCCCCGAGCCCCTGCCCTCACTGACCCCTGCCTGGTTGCCTCCCTTGTAAGCTTGACCCTTTCTCCTGCCATTCTTCCATCTTCCCAGGAACCTGTAGCCTCAGAGGCACCCATCTTTCTCCCCACTTCCCCTAGGTTTTGTCTTACGCCCTTATCCCGTACTTAATCCCGTTCCTCTTTGTAGCATATCATTATCTCAGGTTAAAATTATCTCTTTCTTTTCCCCCCCGCTGTTTTTCTTAACGTTAATGTAATCACACTTGCCTTCAGAAATTCTTGAGGTTAAGGAGGGCTGTCACACACTCTCACTTTGCTAGGCCCCCTGCCACTGCTCCTTCCTCCCGCTCCGTCTTCCTCTCCTCCTTCCCTCTCTCAGGCAGCCCCATCTTCCGTACCTTTCCTTACAAACCCTCTTGCTCCAGGACATATGTTACAAAGTTGGGCAGAGAAAGGATAGCAGCTTTCAGGAAGGAAAATCTCAGTCTGAATTCATTAGGGTGAGTCTATACCATTCTCTTAACATCACTAGATTATTTTCATTTTTGTAAGAATACAAGTTACGGTTCTATGCCATGAAACATTCTCCAAACTCTGGCTTTATTTTTAAAACAACTAATCCCTGAGGAGCCCTAGGCTTAGATGTGAAGGCTTAAGGAATTGTCCCCGGGGAGGCCTGGGTGCTGCCATGGAGCCTGTCGCCGGCTTGGCAGCACAAGGCTGGCCTCTTCTCCTCCCAACACGCTTCAAGGATAGCATGGGCCACAGCCTACTTGGGTTCAAAGGTCAGCATGCCTGGTGCTCATGGAGCAGCTGTCAGTGTGGCTTCACAAACTGGGACCTGCACCACCTGTGTGATCCTCTGTCACGCAGATATTTTTGAAGAAAATGCCAGGGGTCTGCTTAAAAGTGCTGCTGCTGCCAGGCAACCCGATTTCCAGAGTTAACATTTGGGATTAATAACGTGCCCTGCCTATCAGCCAAACCCTTTGCTCCCTTACAGTTAGCGCTATATGAGCTTTTCAACAACTGTTTCTGAAAGTGATCTCTCCCAGCCGATGCTTTTAATACTCACTGCAGAATCCGATCTGCTTACAAAAGCGTCCGGAGTGAACTGTAGCCTAGAAAAGCGTTCAGCCTGGAAAAGCACGGTGAAATTGAGGCAAAAGGACACGAAGCAACCCAAACTAAGGGACCCTCTTAACTCCTAGAGTTAGAAGGCTTGCCAGAGCAGGCAAAGGAAAGGCCCAGTCCTCAGGGCAGGGGCTGAGAGCAGGTGCCCAGCTCTGGGTTAAATATCCTAGTTACTGCTCAAGTGAGGGGCAGAAATACAAAAAGCAGTGTGGGAATACACTCTCTTTCTTTTTTTTATTGAGGTATAATTGACATACAATGTTATGTTAGTTTCAAGTGTACAACATAATGATTTGATAGTTGTGTATTCCATCTCTCTTGTACAGACTAATATGACATAGCCAGCACATAGCCCTCCTCCTTACGTGACCATCAGTCATAACTACAGCCAGATCTTTGCCAGCATGCAGCCTTTCTTGTTTCTCTTGTTCATCAGCATCTTTAATCTCTTGCTTCCTCTTGGCCACACTTCACGTCAGAACAAGTTCATTGTCAGCACCCTTAACCTAAGTGTGACAAAGGCAATTACTAGCTGGCATCAGGAGACTTTTCTTTAAATACTTTTAACTACTTTTCTTTAAATAAGTCACCATTATTTCTTCAGTGTTGAAGAATGTTCCTTTGACTAAAGCTAATTGAGTGATTTTTGTCAGAGCTTTAGCACTTTGTAAAGAAACAATCCATAGAAAATCAGCCCCAGGGAGTTGTTGCTATGGAGAACAGTAATCTGGATTTCTTCCTGTGGGGCTGTTTTAAGAACTGTACTCTGTATCTGACTTTTCTTTTTTCATCTTTCAAACTGTAGGTTCAGCTGTCTGGCAGCTGATTGCATCCTTCCTGAGGCTTCCAATCTCAGGAACTCATTGCATCGTTGGCTCCACAATAGGATTCTCACTTGTTGCAATTGGTACCAAAGGTGTGCAGTGGATGGAGCTTGTCAAGATTGGTAATTGCCATTTCTTTTACCTGTAAGAAGGAAAGTTTACATTTTCTAGAGTAAGTTTTATTAGAAGTTACCATTATAATATATTTTTCCCTCAAATGGTAAGCTCTAGAAGACCTACATGGGTAATATATTTTCCCTCAAAATTTCTGTTCACAGGAATTGTGAACTACTATGTGTTAGACAATTTTTTTAACTCCAGGCACTCTTTTCAAATATCTGTCTCTTGTTCCCAGGCAGAAAAGAAGTTTATCTGATTGAAGTCAGCCTGTAGTCAGAGGGAAAAACTAGGTTGTGGTGAGTCAGAGTTCATGGTCATGGGGGAGCCTGGAAGTGAGCCCCGTGTTCTTTACCTCACAGCATTCACGAGGTCGCCAGCTGCCCTGTAGAGGAGGCACTCCAGTGTTCCTTCTGGGTTGTAGGCTGCCCAGAGGAGCTGTTCTGGGGGGTCTGATGGCCTGCCTCCTGGCTCTGGCTTTTAGCAGGAGGGAAATCCATTGAGACCCATAAGTACCAACCCGCCCATTGTGAAAAATATTCTCTTTCCCCGTCTCTGTCCTCTGGGTTGCTCATCCTTTTAAGAATCACAGTGGCCTCAAGAACTCTAGGTTGAATAGATTCTTGACCTGCCAAGCAGGGACACAGAAGCCAGGAAAATTGCCTTAGATCCCATTCTTCTAGAATAGTGGTTCTCAACTCTGAGAACTACCTGGGGGAGCAATTTAAAAATATTAATGCCAGACCTCATTCCAAACCTTTTAAATCAGAATTATGGGGGTAGAGCCAGAGCATTACTAGTTTTTGAAAACTCCCCGGGTGCTCCCAATGTGCAACCAGAGTTGAGAACTACTGGGCTAGAGGCTAAAGTGTCATGATGGCAGTACCAACTGAACTTGGACAACGCAATGGAAGGGAGCCCACCATTTAGATAACCCTTCCTGTTGGAACAAGGACCGGTCTCCCTATGGACTGATAAGAAGAGCAGGCAGAAGGGGCTCAGAGGGCATCAAAGGAAGCTGTCCTCTGAGGCTAGAACTTGCTGGACTGTGTGCCGGAAGTGTGCTCAGTTCTGCAGGACTGTGCGTCTGCGTCGAGGATACGTGTGTGAGGGCCAGCTCTGCCAAGGGAGTAGGGCTTGTTAGGTTCTGAGTTTAGGTAGTGATTCCAGGATTATTTATTAATATATGTGCTTATGTTGGTTATCATTGTATTATATAAATATGACCTGAATTATGTGGCATTTTAACATTCATTAGATTTCTTTTTTTAACTATTCAGTTGCTTCTTGGTTTATATCTCCACTGTTGTCTGGCTTCATGTCTGGAGTGCTGTTTGTACTGATCAGAATTTTCATCTTAAAAAAGGTAAGTGAGGCTTTTATTTTTTTTATTAAGTTTTAGAACTAATTTTGGTTCTACTCAGAAGAAATCTATAGTGAGAGGGTCATAGGAATAATTGTATTTTTACGTTGTTTGGGCACAGCACCCTGGAGTCAGAATCAGACTTTATCATAAAGTATGTGGAAAGAGTCAAGGCCGAGTACACAGGGCTCCCCAGAAACCAGCCTTGCAAATAGTGTTTCTTGCCCTGTGGTTTGGTGCATTAGTCAGCACTCCCAGGCATTGTGCTCAGAACTCAGAAAGGAAAGGTAAGTATTTCCTGAATGTTAAACAGAATAGAATCAGAGATAGTGTTAAGATTTTGAAATTGACTGTCACTAAAAACAGCTGGAGAATTTCTTTGCCCAAATGTGAAATGTTTTCTATTTTTTAATGGAGAAAGCCAGCTTGAGACACTGCCTTTTTTCTATCCTTGAGGAAAGGATAAAAAGAAGGAAATATATCTATTGGGGTGCGTTTTATCCAAAATAAAATGAGGGGCCGGCCCCGTGGCCGAGTGGTTAAGTTTGCATGCTCTGCTGTGGCAGCCCAGGGTTTCACTGGTTTGGATCCTGGGCGCGGACATGGCACCTCTCATCAGGCCATGTTGAGAGGGCTTCCCATATGTCACAACTAGAAGGACCTGCAACTAAGATATACGACTATGTACCAGGGGGGATTTGGGGAGATAAGGCATTAAAAAAAAAAAAGTGGCAACAGTTGTTAGCTCAGGTGTCAATCTTAAAACAATAAATAAAAAAAAAAAAAAAATGAGATTAAAATAAAAACTTACTGAGATCAGTATTCTAGAAAGAAACTTGATTGCATTTTTCTCTTTGACTGTCAAGTGGTTGTTGCAGCGTTTTCTAAGCCGTAGCGCATGCCTTTGATCCCTGTGTTGCAGCACACGCTGAGCACACGAGGTGCATGCCTATCTTCAGCTGTCTCCTGCTGGAGGAGGCAGCCATTTTTTCTTGGCACTGCCTTGCAGTCTGTTGACGGGCTCATTCTCTTGGATCAGGACAAACTCGCCCCTCCTTCCCCTGGGCTCCCGCCATACTAATATTTCTTTACATCTTGGAAGACGCCACCTTCTGTCACCTGCTAGCCTTCACTTCTTTTATTTCCTCTGCCTGGAACCCATCCTTGCCTGGCAAACTCCTGCTCCTACTCAGCCTTCAGGTGTCACTTCCTTGGAAGCCTTTCCTCTCCCACCCCAGGTTCTGTTGGTTCCCTCTTTTTTATACTCCCGCAACACTCTGTACTTTCCCCTCATTGCTCTATCATGTTGTACGCTGTTTTATTTCTTGCTTAGTGGCCTGTTTGCTATTTGCCTACAAAATCTGAGAGTAGAAATCATGACTGTCTTGTTCACTTTTTATTCCAGTACCTAGCACTGTGCTTAGCACTTCAAAGTTGGAATATTTATTGAGAGGGAATGATGGATGCTTGGATGGGTGGCTGGTGAGGGATGGATGGATGGATGGATGGACGGGAAGAAGGAATGAAAGGAGAGAGGGAGAGAGACAGGAGGGAGGAAAGGAGACAAGTCTTAATGAGACGTTGTCATTTGAGTTTTAAGGATAGGTTATTTGAGAAAATGTAAAGTGATTCAATTGAAAAACATAAACTCAGGACATATGTACCTTCAGGACTTGTTGGTTGGGAGTCTTTCTTTAGCAACTCTTATCCCCAAGAAAACAACATTTTGGAAACCAGGGTCAGTAGGCATTTGAGCATCCCAGCGTTTGGTTCAGTTCAGCCTGGGTTCTTTTCACATGGTCCGTAACAGGTGAGAAGACTGCTGTGCCTCTCATCCCTGGCTCCTGCCCGTCACTTCTTCGCATCTGCTCTTCACATCCCCTGCCTGGTCTGGCTGTGACTCTCATGCAACTGAATCTCTTTCTACCCCTGCTCTTACTGCTCCTTACGCCTCACTACGTTTAACTCAAGCCTCTTGACAGGTGCTGTTGGCCTCTTGAGACATTGCAGAAGAGGCTCTTGATGAGTTTGCTGTTGTGCAAACTTACTTGATTTCCATACATGTTTGCATTTGGCACTAGGAATCTTTGAGATCATCTCTACTTAGCCTTACTCTTCTAGCTCACATCAATGTTGAAACCTGTTTTTCTTTTTATGATGAGTACGTAAGAGATTTGTATAAGTGTACAAGAGTGTCTCACATGGGTATTAGAAATTAGTCCTTTTTTGAATCATTTAAGCAACAACTGTGTGCCAGTGCTGCATTGAGGAGTTCCCAATCCATATTTGTGCTTCAGAAGCTTCTGTAGATCTGCTGAAAACTCTAAATTTCTAATACTGTCCAGATGTCATTTAGCCTAAAATGTGCGCACTACTATTCTCGTTGAAGTCTTAGGTGTTGGGAATGTTGTACCAGAAGCCTAAAGTTGTAAATAAATGTTTTATTAGACAGAGAACCCACAGTTCTTTTTAACTTTTAATAGCTGAAGGTTAGATACTGTACCTTATGAAAAGATTTTGAGAATCGTAGCACATGGTAACGTACGTGCTTTACGTATTTTAATAGAGCTGAAGTGTTCTGTGTGATGGAGTGCCATAAAATCTAGTAGTGAGGCAGTGGTGTGTAAGTCATTTGACTCTCTTTGGGCATCCTCAGAGGGTCGGGTCTCAAAAGATTTGTTGAAAGTAGATTGTTAGGGCCAAACCTGAACTTAGCCACAGGTTTTGAAGTAGATGCCAAACTCTGGGCTTCAGCCCCCAGGAGCTGACCTAACAGTTCTTCACTGTTTCTCAATCTGACATCAGCTGGTGTGATTCCAGTGCATGAACGGGTCTGCTGGGCACAACGGTGGGGTCTTTGAAACAGCATTTGTGTAGGAGAGATGGCCCAGGCCACTGCTGTGTCTGTAGTGTGTGGCAGATCACACAGCAGTGGCACTGCCAGCTGTTTGGGCCACGCCAGTGTTTGGGAAGGTTTTCTGGTGACAGTGTTTTCTATCATTCTGCCTGTGTTGGCTCCAGATGCTCCTGGAATCCTGACCTTCCGCTTTATCTCATTATCATGCAGGAGGACCCTGTTCCCAATGGCCTCCGGGCACTTCCGGTGTTCTATGCTGCTACAATAGCAATAAATGTGTTTTCCATCATGTACACAGGAGCACCAGGTAAGAATCCCTTGGACCCTGAAACCCAGCAGGCGAGGTGTATCGCCACTTAACGGTGTTGGCTTCTTTCGTGCTGGCACTGTTGTTGGCTGACAGTAAAAAGCATTACTCATGGTTATTATGAAGTAGTAAAAATAGTAGTAAGTGCATTGACTTGTTTTAAATACCCAAGAGATAGGCGAAATAAAAAGGCAACAGACTTTAAGCCTTAAAAAAAGGAAAATTGAAATCCCCATTCTGCCATTCACCCCGCTGTGTTACCTTAGCAGCTTCCTCGGCTCTCAGAGTCTCGGCACATGACTGACACCACATACCTCACTGAGCTGGGGAGGGGCCAGGGAGGCGTGTGGAGCACCTGGGGGTGGCGGCAGACCACACATGGGTGACAGGCCAGGGAAAGCTCTGACGTGGTCTATGGCTCAAATGTCAAACTCCCTGGACTTGTCAGACCAGTGAATCCAGTAATTAGAAGCTACCCTTTTTTTTCTAGACACTGAAGCCAATGATGATTTCATTTTCAGAATTACTCCCTTTCTTCCCGTTCTGTTGACTTTTGTTCTTTTTTTACAGGGTTTGGGGCTTTTTAGGGGGCAGGGTTAAAAGTTCTTTTCTTTTGCATTTTCAATCGGTAAAGAAAAACTTATATACAGTGTTCTTATTTGCACACATTGCAATGTTGATGAACTGGTAACATTCGAAAATGCAGTGTTTCTGTACATGTTTTGGTTGAGAAGATTCCTCCTGTTCCCCTTGGTGAGGTGCGCCTCCTACAGCCAGACCCTGAGTACACCCGTTATTGTGGGTGTGAGTACCTGGAGTCAGCAGATATGTTAGTTTTTGTTGTTTTTCTTCTTGTTAATGTCTATGAATAAAGATTCAGTTACTTGCCATATCTGACAAAAATCTCCCCCTCTCTGTTCAAAAGAAAAAATTTCTGCTAAACGGCTTGTCATGTTAAAGTTGAAAAGTGCCCTCTTCCAGAATGAGGGAAAATCATTATTATTTTCCCAAACTAGGTTTTCTCAAGGCAGTTTTGCTCAGATTTTATTTTATTAGGCATATCTAATCATCCATTTGTGTGCTTCAGTTTTCTCAAGGCAGTTTTGCTCAGATTTTATTTTATTAGGCATATCTAATCATCCATTTGTGTGCTTCAGTACAGAAAATGAAACCCTGTCTGTGAAGGCTTCTTAGCATTGTCTACCCTGCTCTGGCATCTCGGCACCATTCAAAACCTTTATCTAAAGCTGTGAATCCTCGGGATCAGGACTCCCAGACTCTGGGGGCAGCCCGGGGCGAAGCTGCACGGCTACCGTAGGTCACAAGAGAAGCACGAGGCGAAGGTCCCAGCGATGGGAGCCGGAGAGCTGGGACCTTGGGCTCAGGGACAGTGGCTGGTGGCCGCCAGGGCTTACAGTGCACAGACTGTGCAGCGTGTCTGTCACAGACTGTTTTCAGGATATAGAATGAAAACCAGAGGCAGGGGAAGAAAAAACAGTTCCATACCACACAGTGAAGCCCGCTCCCAAGTGTGTGACTCTCCAGCACGTCTGTAGAGCCGGGCAGCCGCGGAGCGCCGGGGGAGTGCGCTGCGGCCCCCTCTGTCCACCGTCCGCGTGCTCCTGAGTCCTTGTTCCTAGTTCCCTACAGGCCCATGGAGCTCAGCTTAGCTGAACAAAAAGCCAGGCAACTGCCAATAGCAGACGCCTCCGGCGTGGGTCTAAGAGGCGGCGTCGCAAAGGCTGCCCTGCCTTTGTAGCGCCGAGTCCTGGAAACGGCAATTGGTACAAATAAGGATGATTTATTTTTTATTCTGCGTTTTATTTTTTTCTGCCGTCTGTTCTTCTTGCTCCCTGGATCTTCTTCCGAATGTCAGCAGAAATCAACTGTGTGATTTTCATTAAAATTTGACTTTTTCTGTACTTGGCCTATTTTTTCCATCTCTTCTTTTTTTTCTTTTCCTCATCTTTTGCTGGAGTTTTACTGCCAGTTTGCTAAAAGAATCATCTTAATGGGAGAGTAAATTATTCTAGAGAAAATTAAACTATATAATGGATGAGACACTAAGGGTAATATAAATGCTTCATGGAGAGGTTGTGAGAAATAAATAATGTAAATGCTAACTTTTATTGAGTTGAGTTTTACATGAATTAACCCTTTTAGTCCTCTGAACTCCTCTTGGAAATTGGTAATATTGCTAACTCCACTTTACAGATGGGAAACTGAGGCACAGCAATGCTGAGTACCCATAGTCATACACATAGTAAGGTGCAGGACCAAAATTTGAAGCAGGCATTCCAGTCCTGAGCCCCAGTTCTTAGTTATGACATTGCACTGCTGTATGACGTGGCCTGGGTGAGGCACCTAATACACAGCGCCTGGAACCTAATGTCACCGTTAATGACAATCAAAATACATCCTCCTTGCTATGTTCTTTCCCTTGTCTTCACTCTCTTTAAAAATGGCTTCCTGTATATTGGGAAACCCGGCTATATGTTTTGTGTAAATATTTAATATACAGGTTATGTGAAGAGGGTGGTGACCTCTTTAATTAGGAATGTTAAAAAATCTGTACAAGAATCTTGAAGATCATTACTTAGTTGAAAGCACAGCATATTCCCAGTGCTAGAGTTAATGCTAAGTAATGTGTTTGGGCAGCTCTGCCCAACCAAACGTCACATCGCTTCACCTCCCTGAGCCTCTGTTCATTATCACAGGGGACAGTGGGAGGACGTCCGTGAGAGGATGCCGTGTTACATGAGATAACGTGGGGAGGGCGCTCAGCACAGTGCCTGGCACATGCTAACTCTTGATGCTGTTAGAGGCTATTGTAGTACCATCAACCAAAAGTAGCCTCATCGTTTTGGCCCTAAGTTGCCAGCATATCCTGAGTCATCCTATCTTTCTATTTTTTCCACACATATTGATATGGAAAATTTCTTACTTGAAGTTTTCCGGGGGGCTTGCCTAGAGGAGAAGGAAGGAGAAGAAGGTCATGCCTCTGAAGGACCCTCCATTTTGTTCCTCCACTAAGTCAGAAAAGGACTTTCCTAATATTTTGGTTCCTGGGGAATGTTTCTAGAATATCCAGTAGGTGAGTCCAAGTCTTATTTTTATTTAAACATTGAAGGTTAACTTTGGCCCTTCAAACAAGACTCTAATTACACACTCTTTCTTCATGTGGGACCTCTCTGCCTGTGCAGCCATATCATAAATAGCCGTGGTGTCATCTTTGGTGATAAGGCTGAGCTGAGAAGAGTCACTTCAACAATGACTCAGTTCATCTGCTCCTTTCAGAAGAAGTCTGCCTTTCTGCCAGCCTGGAATTTATGCTTCCCAGTTCCCTTTCTTTCCTCCATAGAATGTTTCCATTCAACATAGGGGCCTCAGAGATAAAAGGAAAGATGGAAATTCCCTAACAAAAATGAGTGGCAGCATTAATCTTCCCAGTTTCAACTAAGAGGTTTTGATAAATAGCATTTTTATGCGAGGAGATGAATTCAGTGAGGACCCACTGGATGTTGAGTTATGATGTTTTGATTTCCTCTCTTCCTCCATTCTAAGTTATTTTGAAATTGTTTATGTCTTAGGCTTAGTTTGATTTGTTTTGCTTTGCATTTGACATGACTTTTCTCAAAAGTCATTCTTATACTTCAAAGACTGAGTGAGCACTTTAAAAAATCATCTTTGCATTTTTGTCCTTAAGAAAATAATTTGCAAGAAGCAAAAATAACTTTGGGAAATAAAGTGCTCACTTGGTTTGGACACAAGCCTGAAGTTTATTTTTAATGAAAAAGTCTTTGGTTGTGTGGGACCTGGTTTGTGTTCAGCATGTAAAGAATGAATCAGCTGAAATTCATTGCATGCCTCTTTGCGTAGTCAGAGCAGATCACCTAGTTAAGCTTCTGGTCGTTATATATAACTTCTAAGTCAGAGTGTGGTTCCCTAAACCAACAACATGAGCATCACATGGTAACTTGTCAAAATGCAGACTCCAGGCCCAGCCCTAGACCCGTAGTCTGCCATCTGGGTTTTAGCAGGGAGCCCTGTGGGTGATTCTGATGCGTGGTCCATCTGGAGAACCACTGCTCTGATCACCTCTTTACCGTAACCTTCTACCACAAACACTGCTACCTTATTGCGGTTCTTATGTAAAACCGGTGTTCTTCAAAAGTTCCAACTAGCAACCCTTCATCACTCTTTTTTACCAGCAAATGAATTCTCAGACTTAACCAGGCCTGGTTTCTGGCTTCCTCAGGACAGTCTGCACCTGAGACAGGGCTGACATTGCCTCTCCTCCCCCTCCCCTCCCCTCCCCTCCCCCTCCCTCCCTTCCCCCTCCTCCCTCTCCCCCTCCTCCCTCTCTCCCTCCTTCCTGTCCTTCTCCTCCTCTCCCCCTCCTCCTTCTTCTCCCCCTCTTCCTCCTCCTCTACCTCTCCTCCTCTCCCCCTCCCGCTCCTCCCCCTCTTCTTCCTCCTCTCCCCCTCCTCCTCCCCCTCCTCCTCCTTCTTTCCTCTTCCTCCCCCTCCTCCTTTTCCTCCTCCAGTTGCAGCTCTTCTGATCCAGTCCCAAGGAAATCAGAGCATCAACAACCCTCCGGCCCCTGCTGTCTTTGTGAGTAGGAGCTTTGTTCCCAGAGGAGCTCTGTCTTCCTTGTTACCATTTTAAGGTTTCAAGCTCTGAGCTGTAGAGCAACCACAGTGGCTCTTAGCCCTGGGTTGGGGAAGCCCTGGGGTAAGAAGTCTCCAGTATCACCAAGGGCTGGATTCAAACCACACGCAGTGATTTAAGTTCACTTCCTTTTCAGAATTATTATAAATGAACCCTGATTTGAGAATGCTGGTACCATACACACACACACACATACAAATCCCAGTTATAGGACACATTAGGCAATAGCATTTTTTAATTTCAAAGGAATGCTTTATTTTCTTAAGGAAGCTGCTCCAGGATTCCCTTTATGCTTTTTATGCTTCCTCTAATGCTTTGAACATGTTGATCTAAAACCAAGAGAACAAAATGGAAACTAGTAACAGCTATCCGGTAAGGGAGGACTAGTAAAAAGTGATTCTGCAAGGGAGGTCAACGTGTGTGTGTGTGTCACTGTGGAGTGATGTCCACAATATACTGTTACGTTAGGAATGAAAGCACAGGACAGTCCAGACAGTCTGATTCTACGTCTGTTAAGTTTAAAAAAAAGGAAAAAAAATTCTGGCAAACATTCTACACTGTGTGTTTGCTTGTATCTAGAAAATACATGGAAAGATACACACCAAATAGTTAGTGTTTCTCTGGGAAGTGGGTTCAAGAGGGGAGAGTGATGAGGAATTTTCATCTTTGTACATCATACAGTTTTGTCCTGCTGGTATTTGTATAATCACGTATTATTTATAAAATTAAAAAGAGAGAAGAAAGAAGGTTGGAGGGAGAGGCTGATACCCATCAGGGGCATCGGCACACTAATATGGGCTCCAGCCCTATTGGTTTTAGACAAGTTTTATTTATTTTGTAGATTCTAATGATGATTGTTAGACATGAAAAACAAGAAGTGTAACAAAGTCATGACTCTGAAAGACTGTGTTTCTAGAAAGTTCTATTTTCTTCTTCCCCAACTCACTTGAATATTCTGATGTTTGGGGGATTTGGAACAGAACTGTAAAGATGCTTGAGGTTAGACCTAAATCACTATTCACCGTGTCTTTGCTGTTCAGAAACTGGAGGAGCTTGAGGGGAAAGGCCGCTGAGCGGCTGGGGGAGGGCTGGTTCGGAGCTCCCAGCCTTGGCTCCTGGCAGTGCTTTTGGCTGAGGGACCTGGAGCAGTTCAAGCCGTGTCCTACTTTGCCTGTCCACGGAGTGCAGTGGCGCCAGGCCTTATTGCCCTCTTAAGGAGTAATTATTGGAAAACGATTAGAGCCTCACAGGAAGAAATAGAAAAATATTTTTGTCTAAAATTTTGTTATGTATAAGTCAACCTTAAGTTTTCAGAAGAAAAAAGCTTTCCCGTGGAAGCACATTGATTCAAGTGCTTTTCTTTGCTGACGTTTTGTGTTTAATTATTTTTTATTCATGAAACTTGATTATATATATTTGGCACAATTTGGAGGTATATAGCATAAATAACTGCCAGCCTGCATTTGTTACATGCAGGCTTTAAACGTAAATCCTCATGTTCTTTTGATGCTCTATTAAATTCCTAAACTGCCGCAATAATTTGGCAAGATCCAAATTCGGTCCCCATTCTGTCCCCCTCTCGTCTCTTACTCGCTGTCCATGATTTCCCCCTGGTTTCCTGTGCTCCTTCACTCTTTCCTCCACCTTGATTTCTTACTCTGTCTCCCCCCTCCACTTGGTGGTGTCTATCCCCTGCTCTCCCTTCCAGTTTCTTGTGACTAGGAGGGTGACTTCAGAGCTTTCTGGCCATTGCCCAGCCCAGACCAATGGCAAAGACGGTTGCCATGGTAAAGGTTCAAGGGGCAGGTGACATTGTAGCTTACTGTCTAAGCCAAGGATCAAGTTTCTCCTTTTCAGGTGTTGGTCCTCACACCCTCTGGAATCCCCCGTGAGCCCACGGAGAGCGTGGAGATGGGCCTGGAGGGATCACATCCAGCAGCCCTTGTCTGCTTTTGCTGTGGGCTCTACTCAGCATGGATGGGGGAAAAGGGCCTGAGAGCAAAAATGTTCACTTATTTAAAAAACGACTTATATAACTTACAAATTGTTTCTCTCTCCCCGCAGTTTCCAGGGCTTGTCTCTCTTAGATCAGGTTAACACAATGAAGTCAAAAGTAGCACAATTAACAGTTTTACCATCAACTAAACCAGGAGCCACAAGGGAAACCTCTTCAAAAAATCAAATACTTTTAAGCCGTAAGAGTGATTGGTGTTGATGTTAATCAGTTTGATGTTGGTAATTAACAGTTACCACTCAGTTGGGCAAGAGGCAGCTGTGGAGTGATCCTTTCTCACGTGTTAGACGCTGCTGACATGAAGATAGACAGCAGAAACCAGGCAGCCGGGCGCACAGGCACAGCTCAGGGAGGTCAGCTGGAGTCATTTACAAGCAGCTCCAAGCCTCCGTTTGGGGCGGAACCGGGCCGGAGCGGGCTGCAGCTTACACAGTGCAGGCCTGCTGGATCCACTGTTTCCGATGTGATGGGGAGTTTGGGAGTGGAACATTCTAGCCCCTAAGAGTCTGTACTCCTGCCAGTGAGCTCTTAGCTGTAATTAAGCTAGGTGATTCTGATTTTTTGTTTTTCATATTTATAAATGCTAATTCTCTACTCCCTGTTTATAGAATTAACTACCTATTCTATCTTTTACAATTACCAAAATATTTAATAATACCTTAATTGAATAACTTTGAGTTGGTTTGTATGTATAAAATGGTTAACGATGTAACAAAGCATCATTAAAGATTTATTTAATCTAAGAGCAAAGATCAAAGTTTTAAATAGTTCACTCCTTTAAAACTTTTTAAAACCTTTTAACAATTCACAAAAGTGACGTGCTTATTAAATATTTTAAAAGTTAACAATACAGAAGTATATGTAGTAAGAACTGGAAACCCCCTCCAATTCCCATCTCACCACAGGAGTAACCCTTGTATCTTTCCAGAACTTTCTCTATATATTCCCACATATGATAGGGTGTAAATGTGAGGCTATTTTCTTTCTCTCTCTTTTTTTCTTTTCGCTAAGGAAGATTCCCCCTGAGTTAACATCTGTGCCAGTCTTCCTCTATTTTGTATGTGGGTCACCACCACAGTATGGCCACCAACCAGTGGTGTAGGTCTGCACCCAGGAGCTGGTCCAAGACTGCCAAAGCAGAGCACACTGAACTGAACCACTAGGCCACAGGGCCGGCCCCTGTTTTCTTTTTTTAAACATAAATTGGATCATGCTACACATACCATTATCCGGCTAGCCTTTCTTACTTAACTAGATCTTGGGTCTCTTTCTTTATCAGTACACATGTATAGATCTACCGCATTTTTATGACTGTGCATTGCAATTATTTCACATTTCCATACTAATGCGTATATTCATTGTCTTGCAAATTCTTATTATTACAAATAATGCTGTATAGTTCGTTTTCTTGTATATTTATCTTTGTGTTCCTGCACAAGCATGTGTGTGTAAGTTGTACACCTGTGAATGTGTGTGACATGTGCCTACTGCCACCAGTGACAGAAGATGTACAAAATTCAGAGTGTTGAGCACTGAGGATGTTACACTGTTAGGGAAATACAAAGTTCCTAAACTGTGTGCACTTCTCCCCTTTTATTGGCTAGTGTAATTGCAACTTGGTATGCATTATCAGATTTTAATGAAAAGTTTTTCTATGTTGTAATTCCATGAGTTGAGACTTCAGAGAAGTGTTAAGTTTGAAGGTCAATGTCTTTTTAAAAAAACTTATTTCTAAGCTGATTTTAAGAAAGGTTTGTATATGTGGTCAGAGCATCATGTCCATTTAAAGCACGGCTGCTGACTACTGAGGAACCAAAGGAGGCAGCAGTCAGCGGCTCCGTGCAGCGTTTCCAGACCTCAGCTTCTCACTGCCCGTGGAGTGGGCTGCCTGTTAGGAGAGAGGATGGTGGGCTGCTTTCTTAGCCACGTTTAGATATTGAGATAACACATACGTGGTTTTATTCCCAACTTAATATGCTGTTTGTGCCAAGTTGGTAAAATTTTAATAATTAGCTTACTAACCAGTTTAACCGCATATTTACAAGGTGTAGTGTGTCTTAAACACACAGCTTTCTACCCCAAAAAGTATACCACATTTTTTTGGTTGAGAGTTTTATTAAATACAAAATCCAGGTGATTCGTTTAGGTTTGGGGAATGAAACATATGCTGACGTGAGGCTTGGCCTTTCAGAAAGTGCCCCTGACAACACTGCTGTCCTTTTTGTTTCCAGTGCTCGGTCTGGTCCTTCCCATGTGGGCAATAGCGCTCATCTCCTTTGGGGTTGCGCTGCTGTTTGCCCTCTTTGTGTGGCTCTTCGTGTGTCCATGGATGCGGAGGAAAATAGCAGGTGAGGGCTTTTGGACTCTTCTGATGTACAAGAGTGTTCCTGATTCCTGAGCCTTCGGATGTAATCCCCGGTTATCCTCACCGTCAGAGGGAAATGGAAGTGTGGATAACCCTGCAACATACACCAAGAAACATGCCCAGTCCTTGTCTCTTGGCTCCTGACTGCTTTCTTTCTAAAACTTTTTCTTGATAACTTGTGACCCAAGTGAGCAGCAGTTCAGTCCCAGTTGCATGGAAACCGGAAGTTGACTGTGCAGTCAAGTTCTACCAGCCTGATGAAAACATGCATCCTTAGGGAAATGCAAATTAACACCATAATAAGATATCACTTCACGCTCGCAAGAATGGCGAAAAGCCAGAAGAGCAGCGATTCCAAGTGTTGATAAAGAAGTGGAATAACTGGGGCTCTCCAACCTTTATGGTGAAATGTAAAATGGCACACCCACTGTGGAAATTAATGTAGCAGCTTCCTATACAGTCACCATGACCCAGTAATTCCACTCCTAGGCATTTATCCAAGAGAAATGAAAATATATGTTCATAAAAAGACTTGTACACAAATCATTTAGTCACAATAGCCAAAAACTGGAAACAACCCAAACGTTCATTAGCAGGTGAATGGATAAACAAATTGTGGTATATTCATGCAACAGAAGACTTCTTAGCAATAAGGAGAATGAACTACCTGTAAACGCAACAACATAATCATTTTCACAGATTATGTCAAGCATGTCAAGCAAAAGAAGGCAGATACAAAGAGTACATACAGTATGATTCCAGGGAAAATTAATCTCTAGCATAGAAGTCACTGGTTGCGGGGGCCTGCAGTGGGTTCAGGAGACTAGCTGCAAAGAGTCAGGAGGGAACTTCTCGGGGACATGGAAGTGTGCTCTGCCTTAATTGGGGGAGTGGTTATGGGGTGTACTCGTTTGTCACTGGTCATCCACCTGCACATTTGAAACGCACAAATTTGGGGCTGGCCCATGGCCGAGTGGTTAAGTCTGTGCACTCTGCTTCGGCGGCCCAGGGTTTCACTGGTTCGGATCCTGGGCACAGACATGGCGCCGCTCATCAGACCACATTGAGGCAGCATCCCACATGGCACAACCAGAGGCACTCACAACTAGGATATACAACTGTGTACAGGGGGGCTTTGGAGAGAAGGAGGAAAAAACAAGATTGGCAACAGATATTAGCTCAGGTGCCAATCTTTAAAATAAATAAATAAATAAAATGTATTAATTTTATTGTATGTAATTTATGCCTCAAGAAAAACAACTTTTGAAAGAACAAGAATATGGCTTAGAAAGCTGCTGGAACTATTTTCCTGTCACTAACAACATAATTGAATTCCAAGCCTTGAGACCACATGCTTTTACAGAGCTCGCAAAAGAAGTGTTTCCTTTTGTCCTCAGAGTGTGCCTCACAATTATGTTTTAGTGTGGACATACCTGAATTTGAAAACTCATATTTCGGAGAAGATCAGAACAAATGAGGAACATACCATGCTCATGAATTGGAAGACTCAATCTAGTAAGGATGTCAGTTCTTCTCAAATGATCCATAGATTTAACACAATTTAAATAAAAATCCTAGCAGGAGATTTTGTAGATTTAGACAAGCTGCTTTTAAAATTTATCTGGGGGCCGGCCCCATGGCCGAGTGGTTAAGTTCGCGCACTCTGCTTTGGCGGCCCAGGGTTTCTCTGGTTTGGATCCTGGGCACGGACATGGCACCGCTCCTCAAGCCATGCTGAGGCAGCATCCCACAGGCCACAACTAGAAGGACCCACAACTAAAAATATACAACTATGTACTGGGGGCTTTGGAAGAAAAAGGAAAAATAAAATCTTTAAAAAAAAATTTATCTGGAAAGGCAACAGAACTAGAATAGCCAAAATAATTTGAAAAAGAACAAAGTTGGAGGATTCATACTTCTCAACTTTGACCCCCTGTAAAGCTACAAGAGAGTGGGGTATTAGTGAAGAAACAGACGCCTGGATCAAAAGAACAGGATAGAGTCCAGATATAGACCCAGGCAAATATGGCAAATTGATTTTCAACAAAGTACAAAGGCAGTTCAGTGGAGAGAGCATAGTCTGTCTGACAAATAGTATCAGACTAATTAGACATCTGTAAGCTAAAAAAAAAAGAACCTTGACCTAAGCGTTATACCTTGAAAAAAAATTAACTCAAAATGCATCATAGATCTAAATGTAAAATAGGAAATACTTTTAGGGAAAAGAAATAAGGGAAAATTTTTGTGATCTTGGGTTAAACAAAGAGTTTTTTTTATATGACACGAAAAACAATTCATAAAAAAAAGTTGATAAATTGCACTTCATCAAAATTAAAAACTATTGCTCTGTGAGAAACATTATTAAGAGAATGAAAAGACAAGCTACAGACTGGGAGACAGTTTCAAGTCCCCTATCTGACAAAGGACTTGTTTTCAGAATATATAAAGAAATCTCAGAAAACAACGCAGATGAAAAATGAGCAAAAAATTTGAACACACACTTTATCAATAAAGATATGTGGATGGCAAATACATCCATGAAAAGGTGCTCAGCATCACTAGCCATCAGGGAAATGCGGATGATAATCACAATGAGATATCACTGTACACCTATTGGAACAGCTTTAAAAAAAGCAGACGATGCTCAGTGCTGATGAGGATGAGGAGCAGCTGGAACTCTCAGACACTGCTGATGGGAGTGTAAAACGGTGCAGCTGCCCGAGGAAACAGCTTGGCAGTTTCTTATAAGGTTAAATATACACTAGCCCACTCCTAGGTTTTACCCAAGAGAAATGAAAATTTAAATTCACCCAAAAATCTGTACATGAATGTTTATAGCAGCTTTATTTATGATCACGAAAAACTAGAACAACCCAGATTATCCACAGAATGAATAAACAGGCTATGGTACACCCATATATTGGAAGACTTCTTAGCAATGAAAAAGAATGAACTATTGATACATGTAACAACTTGGGTGAATCTCTAAGGCATCATGCTGAGTGAAAGAAGGCAGTCTCAAAAAATTACATATCTATGGTTTCATTTATATGGCATTCTGAAAAAGACAAACTGTAGGGACAGAGAGCAGATCCGCGGTTGTCAAGGGTTAGGGCTGGGCCGAGGGTCTGACTACAAGGGCAGCTTTAGGGGATGATGGAACCTTTCTGTATCCTGACTGTGGTAGCAGTTACACAGATCTAGACATGTGTTAGAATCAGCATACACACACACACACACACACACACACACACACACTCACGCAGAGGCAGTTTACTGCATGTGAATTTTAAAAATTTCCACATTAATACATACAACTTCAAACTCAGTAAGTAGTAAAGCCACATGGACAATGGATTGACACCCAGCTGCTGCTTCCTCTCCCGTGTGGGCGCTCCCTGCCCTCCGCCGAGAGTAGACTTCACCTCCTCCAGCATGCAGAGCACTAGCCTAAGAGGAGCCCCTCACCCACTGCTCAGCTGCTTTGACCCCGGGGGATGATAAACTATACGTAGATGCTTTGATTTTTAAAGGCTTTTCCCAATAGCTGAACCTTCATGTCAAATGGAGCATAAAATCTTTGCTTTCCAACTTTAGGCTATAATGTCATAGAGGGAAACTGACATTGCTCCCCATTCTGGCTTCGCCGGAGACTTTTTTGTCACTGCTGTATATTTTGATATTTCAATGTGTATTTCTTGCTCTGTTATTTTAAATACAGACTAGTGATTAAGGGCACGGACCGTAGAGCCAAACTGCCTGCCCTTTACTACCTGTGTGACCCTGGACAAATCACTTAATCTCTCTGTGCCTCAGTTTGCTCTTTAATAAAGTACAGAAAATAATACCTGTCTTGTGTAAATGTTAGCAATTTTTGGTTTATTATTATAATCTTTACAAATGTTATCTTCTCTCAGGTAGATTATAAGCAACTTGGGGTCAAAGATCTGTACGTACATTTTTTTGTTCCCTGTAGTTCGTAGCAGAAACTTTGTTTTAAAGAGCCTGCCTGTAGGTCTGACTCACGGTAGACAGATGATAATCAGAGAGAGGGATGGCGGCCGAGCGCCTCCAGCAGAGGGACCGAGAAGAGTATTTCCATTTCAGTTCTGGAGGTGAGAGCTTAGAACTGTGCTCAGAAAAATATGCAAGCAGCAAGATCAGTAAATCAGGAGCACCACATAACAGGTTTGATTAAAAAGAATGCTGTCGGGCTTTAAAAGCGCTTTTTTGAAATCCTTTGTCTCTTTTGAAAGTAAAGGATTTTTCAAAGTAGGTGGGATCTCTCGGTTCCTTTTTGGAAGATGATTTACTTATTTCCTAAGATTTGGTGACCAGAAGAAATCTGAGAGCAATGATTTATTGAACAGAAGAAAGCCAAACAGACCATAACAATATCTCTGAGGACAAAATGGATAAACATTCAGTGATTCTGTGGTTCATTTAGGAAAGTGGAAGCCGGGGCTCAGTAGTCGTGGAAGGTTAGCGCTGGAAGGGCCAGGGTCGAGGCTGGAAGGGCCAGGGTCGAGGCGAGGCCTCTGTTTTTGTTGGTTCTGGATGTGCTCACTCAGTCTCAGCCCCTATCTTCTCCTCAGTAGCTGAGTTTTCTGTCTTGAGTTTCCCAGATAATTGAACTCTCTATTTTCTCTGTGTGGCTCTCACCTTTTTTCTCATTTCCAAAGTAAGTACCAAGTATGAAGATAAATATTCACTTTTTATATTCATTTTTCGATAACAAGATTGCTCTTTCAAAATTTTCAGTTACGACTACTATTGTTTTTTAGGCAAGTTACAAAAAGAAGGTGCTTTATCGCGAGTCTCTGATGAAAGTCTCAATAAAATTCAGGAAGTGGAGTCCCCAGTCTTTAAAGAGCTACCAGGTGCCAAGACGAATGACGACAGCACCGTCCCTCTCACGGGGTCAGCTGGGGAAACGGTTGGCGCCTTGGAGGGCAGCTCCGTGGGACACCACCCCCGGGCCACCTACGGTAAGACCCATGTGGCCGGGGAGGTGTGCGGGGGCAGAGAGCCAGCGGGGCCTGGGGGTGCTGGCGGGGCCCGCGTGTGAGCAGTTAGGGTTTAATGCACAAAAATGCCCCCCAATTTTATGTTTTGAGAAAACTCAGGGGCTAAAGAGGCCTCGGGAAACCATTCAGTCAGTAGAGCAGACTCACTCTGTTCTGGGGTTTTCTCCCGAGAGCTGCTTCCAGGCTGGCCCGGTGCCCACGCCGCCTCCGTGTGCGAGTTACCTCCGCTGCGGGGAAGGACGCCTGCCGTGGGGAGGACGCCGCGGGAAGGCTCCCACGAACCAAGGAGGGCGTCCTACTGTGGAATCAAAGAAACCTCCGAAGCATCCAGACTGCCCTGGGGGGGTCCTTTTGTCTCAGAACATTTGTGGACAATGAGGGGCTATCACCAGCCTCTGCCAAGCCTGTCCGGGCAGCTTCCCGCCTCCCTGCCACGTGGGGCCCTGGCACCCACTTTCCATAGGTGCCACTCAGACTTGGCCCAAAGAAAGCAAAGTAGTTTTGCCCCACTGATCTGCCAGATGCTGCCTGTGACAGTCGGGATTGGCCTTCCAGGGAGCATCTAGAGTCGCTGCCTCACAGGGCACTGGGTTTGGTCCTTCATGTGTCAAGTTTTTCTAAAATAAGTTCTATGTACAGATTCTCCCTTTATTGGTTACTAGAAACAGGAAGAGTGCCACAGTAATTTCTGGAGACACTTTTTAGGAGAGCATAAATAACGTTTGTTAAATACCATGTTATTAGTTTTACCATTTTGTTGGATATGCCCACATTGCCTTTTTATTTAAAGCATGTTACATGTCCTTTCTGGTCAATTTAGGAAGGAAAACGTGCCAAAAAATTAAAATCACCCATAATCCAGCCTTCCAGAGATGACCACCACATAAAGAGCGGGGAGTATCTCCTCCCTGACACGATTTATATTCAAAAGACTGGAAAATAAGACCTTTTCTTTTCACCTGTTTCAGGAAGGGCACTTTCCATGACTCAGGGCTCTGGGAAATCGCCCATCTCCAATGGCACGTTTGGCTTTGATGGCCACACGAGGAGTGACGGTCACGTGTATCACACTGTGCACAAAGACTCGGGGCTCTACAAAGACTTGCTGCACAAAATCCACACAGACAGGGGCCCTGAGGAGAAGCCCGCACAGGAAAACAACTACCGGTTGCTCCGCCGGAACAACAGCTATACTTGCTACACAGCAGCCATCTGTGGGATGCCAGTGCACTCGACGTTCAAAGCTGCTGACTCGTCATCCGCACCAGAGGACAGCGAAAAGCTGGTGGGTGACACTGTGTCCTACTCTAAAAAGAGACTTCGCTATGACAGCTACTCAAGCTACTGCAATGCAGTAGCAGAAGCTGAGATAGAGGCAGAAGAGGGAGGGGTGGAAATGAAGCTGGCCTCCGAGCTGACGGATCCTGACCAGGCTCCAGAGGACCCTGCAGAAGAGGAAAAGGAGGAGAAAGACACACCCGAGGTCCACCTCCTGTTCCATTTCCTGCAAGTCCTTACTGCTTGCTTTGGATCTTTTGCTCATGGTGGCAATGATGTGAGGTGAGTACATTCATTCATTCAACAAGTACATCTCCAGGGTCTACCATGTGCCAGGCATTGTTCTGGGTGCCAGGATACAGCAGCAAGCAACATGGACAAAATCCTGGCCAGGAAGGATGAGGGATGGGGCACAGACAGTAAACAAATAAATAAGTAGCTCGTGTAAGATGCTAGACAGTGATCAGTGTTAACGGGAAAAATAAACTAGAACGGGGGAGGGGCGCCTCTGGGTGATTGCGATGTTGGAGAGCCTGCTCAGGTAAGGGCTCACAGAGTGAGATCTGAAGCGGGTGAGGGAGCCAGGCATGTGAGCACCCAACGGAGAGCGTCCCAGAAGAGGGAACAGCAGGTGCAAAGGCCTGAGGCAGGAGTGTGCCTCGTGTGTTCCAGGACGAGCAAGGAGGCTACAGAGGGAGAGAGTATAGACTGCAAGGTCAGCAGGTGATGGAGGCCTGGAATGTGTAGGGAATACGCAGGAGTATGTGGAGAGTCTCCGCTCTCTTCTTACTAGCTGGGTAGCCCTAGACAAGTCACTTGACTTCCCAAAGCCTCAGTGTCTCAATCTGTAAAATGGGGGTAAAACTAGTAGCAAGCTCATGGAGTTTCCATGAGGATTAAGTGAGCTGCTTTATTTAACATGCTTAGGACAGGGCTCCTTAATCCGTATCTATACATTCTCACTGTTACTCTCAGGATGATTTTCGTGCAGGGCAAATGTTTCCATCCAGACCAGGACAGTGTGCTATTGTTGCATTTTTTATTGCCCAGTTACCAGCTGTGGGTTTCCATATACTGTCTACCCATGTGCAACTGCATTTCTGTTCTCTTTCAAAGAAGTCTTCCCGCAGACAAGAGGCCTGGATGTCTTGTGTTCTGCTCAGGGTTACATAGGTGTCGCATGTGGTTTTATTTGAGGCACCACGTTCCACCCTATGTTCTTAATTTTTGACTCTCTCGCTCCTGGCACGACCCAACCTCCTCATCCTTATCAAGAATTCTTTTCTTAAAAAATTAAAAATCTTTTTTATTGCAGTAACATTGGATTAATAACATTATATAGCTTTCAGATGTACATTGTAATATATTTCGAATTCTGTGTAGATTACATCATGTTCACCACCAAAAAACTAATTATAGTCCATCCCCGCACATGTGCCTAATCGCCTCTTTTGCCCTCTCCCCTCCCCCCTTCCCCTATGGTAACCACCAATCCAATCTCCGTTGCTATGTGTGTGTTTGTCATTGTTTTTATCTTCTACTTATGAGTGAGATCATATAGTATTTAACTTTCTCCCTCTGACTTATTTCACTCGGCATAATACCCTCAAGGTCCATCCATGTTGTCACAAATGGCAGGATTTCATCATTTCTTATGGCTGAGTAGTATTCCATTGTGTATATATACCACACCTTTATCCATTCGTCCCTTGATGGGCACCTAGGTTGCTTCCAAGTCTTGGCTATTGTGTATTATGCTGCAGTGAACATAGCAGTGCATGTATATTTATGCATTTGTGTTTTCAAGTTCTTCGGATAAATACCCAGCAGTGGGATAGCTGGATCATATGGTAGATCTATTCTTAATTTTCTGAGGATACCTCATACTGCTTTCCATAGTGGCTGCACCAGTTTGCACGCCCACCAGCAATGAACAAGCATTCCCTTCTTTCCACATTCTCTCCAACATTTGTTGTTTCCTGTCTTGTTAATTATAGCCATTCTGACCGGAGTGAGGTGATACCTCAATGTAGTTTTGATTTGCATTTCCCTGATAGCTAATGATGTTGAGCATCTTTTCATATGCCTGTTGGCCATCTGTATATTTTCTTTGGAGAAATCTCTATTCAGATCTTTTGCCCATTTTTTAATTGAGTTGTTGGTTTTTTTGTTGTTGAGCTGTATAAGTTCTTTGTATATTTTGGATATTAACCCCTTATCTGATATATGGTTTGCAAATATCTTGTCCCAATTGTTAGGTTGTCTTTTCGTTTTGTTGATGGTTTCCTTTGCTGTGCAGAAGCTTTTTAGTTTGATGTAGTCCCATTTGTTCGTTTTTTCTTTTGTTTCCCTTGCCCAGTCAGACATGGGACTTGAAAATATGCTGCTAAGACCAATGTCAAAGAGCATATTGCCTATGTTTTCTTCTAGAAGTTTCATGGTTTCGGGTCTTACATTCAAGTCTTTAATCCATTTTGAGTTGATTCTTGTGCATGGTGTACAATAATGGTCTACTTTCATTCTTTTATATGTGGCTGCAGTTTTCCAAACACTGTTTACTGAAGAGACTCTCCTTTCTCCATCATATCTCTTGGCTCCTTTGTTGAATATTAGCTGTCCATAAATGTGTGGGTTTATTTCTGGGCTCTCGATTCTGTTCCATTGATCTGTGTGCCTGTTTTTGTGCCACTACCATGCTGTTTTGGTTACTATAGCTTTGTAGTATATTTTGAAATAAGGGAGTGTGATACCTCCAGCTTTGTTCTTTTTTTATCAGGAATCCTTTGGCTATTTGAGGTCTTTTGTTGTTCCATATAAATTTTAGGATTCTTTGTTCTATTTCTGTGAAAAATGTTGTTGGAACTTTGATAGGGATTGCATTGAATCTGTAGATTGCTATAGGAAGTATGGACATTTTAAATGTGGTAATTCTTCCAATCCAAGAGCACGGAATAGCTTTCCATTCCTTTGTGTCTTCTTCGATTTCTTTCAACAATGTTTTATAGTTTTCAGTGTACTGGTCTTTCACCTGTTTGGTTAAGTTTATTCCTAGGTATTTTATTCTTTTTGTTGCAATTGTAAATGGGATTGTATTCTTAATTTCTTTTTCTGCTACTTTGCTGATTTTTGTATGTTGATTTTGTATCCTGCGACTTGAGTGTATTCATTTATTATTTCTAAAAGTTTTTTAGTGGATTCTTTAGGGTTTTCTATATATAAAATCATGTCATCTGTGAAGAGTGACAGTTTCACTTCTTCTCTTCCAATGTGGATCCCTTTTATTTCTTTTTCTTGCCTGATTGCTCTGGCTAGGTCTTCCAATACTCTGTTAAAAATAAGAGTGGTGAGGGGCTGGCCCCGTGGCCGAGTGGTTAAGTTCGCGCGCTCCGCTGCTGGCGGCCCAGTGTTTCGTTAGTTCGAATCCTGGGCGCGGACATGGCACTGCTCATCAGACCACGCTGAGGCAGCGTCCCACATGCCACAACTAGAAGAACCCACAACGAAGAATACACAACTATGTACCGGGGGGCGTTGGGGAGAAAAAAGGAAAAAATAAAATCTTAAAAAAAAAAAAAAAAAAAAAAAAAAAAAATAAGAGTGGTGACAGTGGGCATTCTTTTCTGGTTCCTGTTCTTAAAGGGATAGCTTTCAGTTTTTCTCAGTTGAGAATGATATTTGCTGTGGGTTTGTCATATATGGTCTTTATTATGTTGAGATATTTTCCTTCTATACCCATTTTATTTAGAGTTTTTATCATAAATGGTTGCTGTATCATGTCAGATGCTTTCTCTGCATCTATTGAGATGATCACGTGATTTTTATTCTTCATTTTGTTAATGTGGTGTATCACGTTGATAGATATGTGGATGTTGAACCATCCCTGCATCCCTGGAATAAAACCCACTTGATCATGATGTATGATCTTTTTAATGTATTGTTGTATTCGATTTGCTGGTATTTTGTTGAGAATTTTTGCATTGATGTTCATCAGTGATACTGGCCTGTAATTTTCTTTTTTTGTGTTGTTCTTGTCTGGTTTTTCTATCATGATAATGTTGGCTTCATAGAATGAGTTAGGAAGCCTCCTCTCCTCTTCAATCTTTTGGAGGAGTTTGAGAAGGATAGATATTAAGTCTTGTTTGAATGTTTGGTAGAATTCACTAGGGAAGCCATCTGGTCCTGGACTTTTATTTTTTGGGAGGTTTTTGATTGCTGTTTCGATCTCCTTACTGGTGATTGGTCTATTCAAATTCTCTACTTCTTCTTGGTCCAGTTTTGGAAGGTTGTAGGTTTCTCAGAATCTATCCATTACTTTTAGATTATCCAATTTGTTGGCGTATAGCTTTTCATAGTATTCTCAATATCTTTTGTATTTCTGAGGTGTCTGTTGTAATTTCTCCTCTTTCATTTCTGATTTTATTTATTTGAGCCTTCTGTGTCTTTTTTTGGTGAGTCTAGCTAAGGGTTTGTCAATTTGGTTTATCTTTTCAAAGAACCAGGTCTTGGTTTCATTAATTTTTTCTATTGCTTTTTTAGTCTCTATTTCATTTATTTCTGCTCTGATTTTTATTATTTCCTTCCTTCTGCTGATTTTGGTCTTTTTCTTCTTTTTCCAGTATCTTTAGATGCACTTTTAGATTGTCTATTTGGGATTTTTCTTCTTTGTTGAGGTAGGCCTGAATTGCTATAAACTTCCCTCTTAGAAGCGCTTTTGCTGTATCCCATAGATTTTGGCATGTCGTATTTTCATTTTCATTTGTCTCCAGGAATTTTTTTATTTCTCCTTTGATTTCTTCACTGACCCAATCATTGTTCAGTAGCATTGTGTTTAATGTCCACATTTTTGTGGCTTTTCCGGTTTTCCTCCTGTAGTTGATTTCTAGTTTCATATCTCTGTGGTCAGAAAAGATGCATGGTATTATTTCAGTCTTCTTAAATTTATTGAGACTTATTTTGTGGCCTAATATCTGATCAATCCTGGAGAATGTTTCCATGTGCATTTGAAAAGATGTGTATTCTGTGGTTTTTGGATGGAATGTTCTCCATATATCCACTAAGCCCATCTGGTCAAATGTGTCATTTAAGGCCAGTGTTTCCTTATTGATCTTCTGTTTGGATGATCTATCCATTGGTGTAAGTGAAGTCTTAAAGTCCCCTACTATTATTGTGTTACTGTCTATTTCTCCTTTTATGTCTGCTAATAATTGCTTTATATATTTAGGAGCTCCTATGTTGGGTGCATACATATTTACAAGTGTTATATCTTCTTGTTGGATTGTTCC